CGCTGGTCACAGTTGTGCTGCTCTGGGGTACAGCACGGTGCTGCCGTGTGCTGCTCGCACCACAGGTCACGTTCCCTGTTGTCTCTGGGGGGCCGAGCAAAGGGGAGCCCCAAGGAGCAGTAACAGCAACCTCTGGGAGGAGCAGTAGTTGCCCTTGTTGGCAGGTAGGTTTTAGGAAGTGCCTATAAAAGAAAACCTTGTTCGTGTATTTCCCATGCCCTGGATAGGGTCAAAGCTCTCACTCCAGGACTGTGTGCAGCCAGGCTCTGCCCCTGCCTGCTCTGAGGATGTCGGCAGCAGTGTGGGGCACGTCTGCTCTCTGGGCTGTCACGGAAGCCAGCAGCAGCCAAAGGCAAAGGTGGAACATGATGCAGACCAGCCACCTCTGAGGCAGTGCCAGCCCTGGACCTTGCTGTTAGTTCATTGACCATGCTGGATTTCATCCCCTTACCTCCCTGGCCATGCCAGAGTGGGGACACGTTAACCCCCAAGGAAACAAGTTCGAGCATGTCCCTGTGGAAGCCACAGGACACCTCCATGTTGGCTTGTTGAGTGCCTGTTGGGTGAGCAGAGGCTGCTGCCCTTGCTGAGGCTCCTGTCCCAGACATGTGGTCGGCAGCAGAGGGGTCCTGGGATGCCTGGCCACTGCACTCAATAAACATTTTGGTAGTGCACCGTGTGGAGATGGCTGTTTTGCTCAGGCTGGAAGGGAAGCAGGTGAGTCCCAGTGCCCAGGTGCCATGGGAGCTGCAAGGAGGGCTCTATGGATGCTGTGGAGCAGGATAAAACAGCTTTCCTGAGAAGGCTGTGGAGCCTGTGCAATTGCCCTGTGTCAGAGGAATGGCAGTAATGAGCACTTAGCATCGAATCCTCCTTGGGAGGAGGAAAGGTTACTTGTATTGGTTCTTTGTAACCCGTCTTCTTGCAGCTGGAAACCTTATAGGAGGGACTTGTGTTCTGGGGAGCTCGCTTTGACGTAGTCTAAAGCTGCTTCACAAGCGTGTCTGTGCCAGCTCCAGCTGTGCTGGTCCCCTCCCTACCCTGCATGGGAGTGTGATGGTCACCTCTGCAGCCTAGCTTTCCCTCCTTGGGAAGAGGGATGGTGTGTGGGGCAAACCCTGAATAGCGGTCTCGGTGCTGTGGAAAGGAACTGGAGACATCAGTTCCCCAAATAATGGGAGTACAGAACAGCTTGGGCCAGGCAGCCTTAGTGTGGCCACTGGCAGTTGGAACTAGATGATATTAAGGTCCTTTCCAACCCTAAACATTCTATGATTCACTGGGCTCTTTGTGGCCTGGGAGGGCTCATTTCCCATAAGCGTGTGGAGACTGATGTCCCTAACCATGCACAGGCTCTGGAGCTGCAGAGGCCACCTGCAACGTGAAGGTGGGAAATCTTGGGGTGCATGGGCTGCTGTAGGCACATCCCCATCTCACCTCCTCGGAGCATCCCCTGGGTTCCTGGAACTGTCTGCCTGCTGTGGAAAAGGTTAGCTGCAGGCAGAGCACTGTGGTTTGCACTTCAGCATTGGGACAGCAGGTCCAGCCCGGATCTACATGTGCAGAAAGCACCCAGCCCTCCCTGGGACTTGGAGCAGGCCCCAGTGTGCAGGGAGGTGCTTGGCGGCTGCCCTAGTCCCAGCCCCGAACAATGAGAGTTGCTGCCTTTTGGGAAGCACTGAGTCAGCCTGACCTCAAACCGCCCCCCAGAGCAGCAGCACAGAAACCTCCCACGGCATATGTGAGCGTCTGGCACAGGGCTGTGCACAGGACAAGGGGCTGTTCTCACTTGAGAATGCCTCTGCTGCTCAGTCAGTTTGGGGGAAAAACCTGCTGCTGGCAACAAGCTGTCCATAGCTCAGGCCAGAGAGGGATGTTCCTGGTAACCGTGCTATTTCAGCACGCCGAGGACCTGCACCTCTGCTGCAGATCTCACAGGTTATTGCTCTTCTGCTCTCTGCAATAGTCTTTCAAACCAGAAAAACGTTTTCAGCCCTTAGAACAAATTAATTTAACACCCGTGGTGTTTTCTCCCAGGCCCACAGAAAGGTGTATGCTGTGTTTCCCCAAGGGATGAAGTTTTCTAGCCAGATCAGAAGCACAGTTTCTCATGAAGCTGCTCTGGGGCATCTTCTGAGATAAGGTGCCCTGAGTGAGGCCCCACATCTGTTTCCAGTCCTCTGTGCTTTGGAAATCATAGGCTGGTGTCCCCAAGGACTATGAATGCCAAAAACGCAGTCTGGCGGGCACCATGTGAATTACTGCCCATTAGCAGCCCTTCTTCCCAATCTCTCCTTTTATAGCTCTTTGTTCTGTTGTGTCAAAACTGGTCTGTTTATATGGTTTCAGAGATGATGTTTCTCTGCAAAAATGTTTTTTTCCATAGTTTCGGATTGGTTCCCTTCTGCAGGCAGTAACATCATCACTTGGCATGGAGTCACTGGACTTCCAGCTTGTGCAACACCCACCCTGGCTGTGCTGTCCTGGGGAACACAGCCCTCAGCAGCTCCAGCACTGTCTGGTGTGTTCGCTTCCCGGGTTGTTCTGAGCACAAGGAATGACTTACACTGGTGCAAAATGATGTTATTGGGTTAAACGCAGCCATATGGCTACATACAACTTTTGGCACTTTTGGTCCTCCTGATGAGGCTGAGGGCTGCGTTGCCACTGAATGGGCAGTTTGCAAGCTTGGTGTTACAGAAAAGGGAAAGACCTTGAAATGGGAGGGGAAAGCTCTGGAGAGGCTCCTTCCCCTATCCGCTGCCAGGCCTCCCTGCACAGGGAAGAGACGCCTGCTCCGTGGCTCCTGTTGACACAAATAGCATGAGGAACTCAGCCCACCATCACCTGCCTAGCCTCGGGGCTGCTAGCGCACATTACACCAGAAAAGAGATGGCCCAATTTTGCCAGAAAATAAACTCTCACTCAGTTCTCTCTCTGCAGATGAGATGTTTGAGATGAGATGGAGCAGATGTTTGCCATTAGCAACTACTGGAGCTGCTTTCCGTCCCTGGGAGCAGCACAGCGGACCCATCACTTCCTACCTTCACACTGGGGTCTCTATTTTACTAGAATTTGCCCAGGAAAAAATCTGCGCTGCCAGTTTTTTTAGATTCTATTCCTTTGGACAGCACCCTGTGCTTCCAAAAAGAAGGAGAGCACATAGCACAGCGAGACACATGTCCTGGTGGTGTGCATGGCGCCTCTGTAGACCCCACCATGCTCATGCAAGCCCGCAGGGTGTGATCACAGCCAGAGAGTATGTCACTCTGTGCAGTAGATAACATCAGCTGAGGAGCAGGTAAGGTCAGAGAAGCCCGAAACTTGATTACAACTGCTTGATCCCTGCCTCACTCACTGCAGGGTAACGGACAGCCTTATCGTGTTATCCTACATGTTAAGGAGACTTGATGTTGTCCAGCTCCTCCCTGTTGGTCTGTATCTCTTCACCCTTCTGAATAATTGCCTTGAAATGCCGGTGCTGGTTTATTTTCTTTTTATGTTTTACTGGAAACAGGGTAATGAATGTATAATGGACTCTCTGCCATTATTGCCTGATTCCTATCTAAGATGCATTTGAGTTATTAGGGGATGAACCATCTCAGTGGTAACAGCATCGCTAAGGTGTTGTTACAAGACGAAATAGCTCTCCAGGGCAGCAGCAGGAGCCAAGCAGACAGGAGTGTGCCAGCCTGGCTCAACAGGAGCAGTGCTCTGTAGCACTCTGGCACACCCAGCAGTGCCCTCAGCTGCCCCTCTGTTAGCACCGAGCTGGTTTGGTGCTGTGGTCTGTGCTCTCAGGAGCTCAGGGCAGGGTTCAGCTCACTGTGCTCCTGCTGCAGATACCCACAGTGACATCTGGCCTTGGCCAAAGGCTGTGGGTGCCTCGGTGGCTCCAAGCAGGGCCGGGTCCAGGACTCCCCTCCCCGCTGTGGCTCACTGGGCACAGGCGTTCCCTCTGGGGACTGTGCAGGGCTATATTAAACACGTCTCCCTCCCGGATCTTGCTCCTCCCAACGTGCCCAGCTGTCCGATGGGAATAAACTGGCCAGTTTCCACAAAGCTCTCTGACAGGGCGTTTCTTTGCAGCAGCAGTGGGCCCAGCCCTTGCATCCTCTTAGCGTTTTCTCTTGACTGAAGCGTCTGCTGTTTTCTGATCTGCTTTGTCTGAGACCCAAAGGGACTGGCTTTCTGCAGCTGGTAAATCTGGGGGAGTCAATGCAGGTCCTGAGCACATCTGAAGCCAAATCAGGTTTACTACCACCAAGCCA